GTCCCCCCCCCCTCCCCCCCCCCGCCAAGTGGTGACTTTGTCTCTTTGACCCAATTTAGTTTCAGCAAATCCAACTTTCTGGGTGGTCTGAGTGAGCAGGTTGAAGGTGGGTTTTCACGTCCCATTAAAGCGAGCCCGTTAGCGTGTTACTCGCCGAGGATCACAATTCTGTGCGGTGCCTGGGGCGATGCTCGCTCGTTTTCTTAGTGCTCTGCCCGTGTCCGTGCCGCTCAGCGCGGCTACGATTCTCCTTGCTAATAGAGCACATAAAAACCGCAGAATCATTAATAGCGCAGAATCATTGGGGTTGATAAGACCGGCTCCGCGCTGCTGCCGTTTTTCATACTCGCTGCATTTTGTAAACATGCTACAGAACCAGGATTTTTTTATTTATTTTTTTGACCCATCTACAGCTCTTCTGTAACGGCCGTTTCCCGAGCCTGTCCGAATGGATTTCTAGCAGTCGGCTCCAGCACTTCCCCTCCCAGTGTTGGTTGCTGAGGGCTCTCAGCCACCCTCCATATGTAGGCACACAGCCGCACCTTGGGTTGATTTTAGGGTTGTGTCTGTGCTGATTGTAGCTGAGACTTTTCAACCAATCTTGTAACATCACCAAAGTCCTTCCTGGGGGAAACAGGAAAGGACCAATTTCTGTCTTACTCAACATCCAGAGCCAGTCGCCTGGTTTGGGGAAATACTCTACGACTCTCTCCAGTTCAGCAACATCTGTGGCCTGGCAGGGTTTGAGTGAGCCGGATGTTCCACATTTCATGGGTGCAGCCAAATTTCCCACAGTCCCATAAAGTTTGTGCGCAGCACCCAGTCCTGACTCTCGGGGCTCTGTGCTGTGATGTAGCTCTCGTTTACCCCTCCACGTCTCTAAGAGCCCAGTGAGCGGGGGCGGCGTTGGTGGTGCTGCGAGGCAGTATTGACCACCTGTATCGTATTGATTCTCTGGTCTGGCACCTGTCAGGTTCCAAGGGTGCTGGGCCAGAGCGGTTTCACCTGTATTTTAGTTGACACCCACTGAGGAGCTAGACTATTTTTCACTTTTTTTATGCTCTCCAGCTTGCTGACTCCCCCTCTCCCCTCCCCGTGAAGGCTTCTGGGTGTAATCAAGGGGCTGTTTCTTGTAGCACTGTGATCAGAACCATTGCGAGAGGGCACTCGTCCCACGAGGGCTGCTTTATGGGGAAGTTTTGTTTGTGGCTTAGCCCCATCCCTCAGAGCTGCTGAGCATAGGTCAAGCTTGGGAGGGGGAAGGGGCCTGGTGGCAGGGGAGAGTGGTCACCCCTGGCCTGCCCGCTCCGGCTGTCCGGCTCTGGGAGGGGAGAAGGTGTCGAGGCTGAGGAAGGAGCTGTGGCGGAAATGGCGCGGTGCTGTCTGCCTCTTGCCTGTAACACAAGGGCACATCAGCACCTTCACACGCGGGTCCCGCTCCGCCGGGCGGGGTGACGAAAGGAAATGATGGAGAAACTGGAATTTGCCTATTAGGGGGATGGGCAGCTTGCAAGGACCTGTGAGTAGGGGTTATGCAGGAATCTGCAAACTCCGCGTACGTGCACCTAGGGCAGGGACCCCAGTTCTCTTTTAGGGACCCGTAGCCGCGGAAATGGCACTGTGCTGCCGTTCCCAGCACTACACCGTGTAACGAACATCCGGGACAGCGCCCCACGTCTCCTCCCGGGGCGCGGTGGTGCTGTCTTCTGAAAGTCAGCCAGCCTCATCCTGTTGCTTCATACGCAAGGCCTGACCGGGGCTTTCTGCCTGGTTGACAGGCGGAGCCAGGCGTGGGGTGCGTAGGCTTCGCTGCCCTCGGCTGGCGAGTAACAAGCATGCGCGTGGATAACTGTTCCGTCAGTTGAGTGAGTGGCACTGTCCTGAGTCGCTCGGTCTGTGCTAAGCATCCCGGAGCGTCTCGCTGCTGCCGTCTAACGCCACATTGTGGAAAACCGTGAGTCATCAGAGGTTGGCACAGGGTTCTGCAGAACAGTGTCATGTTTATCGAGTGTCGGCCTGACCCATGGGAATGTTGTTCTTGGCCTCATCAAGCAGCTCTTCATGTTACGCAATCCCACCTGCACTGGGGTTTCTGGCGGCCCAGCTCCAAGGTTCTGGACCTTGGTCTTCTGTCACGAGATGTTCAGCCTCACAGTGGGGACGACGGCGTCTTGGGGACTCTGGGGGGCAGGGCTGAAATTGATTGTCCACGAGCATGGCAGCGCCGTCGGCCTAGTCGTGGTTGGGGATGGCAGGTCCCAACAGCCAGTGGGTATCTCAGCAGGGGAGCGCCGGGGGCACGAGGCAGCGCAGACCCGCTGCTCACCTGAGCTGGCGAAAGCCACAGACCAAGGCAAAGAGCTGACCTGTTGGCTGAGGTGCCGCACTGACGGGGATTCTCACTTTACTCCTGACGCTCTGCCCCCCTCCGTGGGCCGCTCTCCGGCTAGCGCCGCCGCCCCAAATAGATCAGGCAAGTTTGACTAGGGTTGCCAGGTGTCCGGTATTGACCTGGACAGTCTGGTATTTTCGCCTCCTGTCTAGTAAAAAAAATTCAGAAAATACCGGACACCTAAAATGTCGGGTATTTTGAGATTTTTTTTTTCCCCAGGCAGGAGGCGAAAATACCGGACACCTGGCAACCCTACAACACACGCGGCAACTGGGCCTGGCCCTGGAGCCCCTGCTTACCTAGTTCCACAGAGAAACTGTGTTTTGGCTTGATCAATAAAACAAAATGGCTGCCGGCAAAAAGCCTTAAAGACCAAGGGGAAGCAATGCCTTCCCTGGGTCTTAATGCTCAACTGCTCCCATGTCCCTATCCCTATTCTGACTCTGCATGCACACTGAAAGGGGCCATGCTGTTTTAATGCTGTTTTACTATTTAATTTTTTTCTCAACAACTTTGGTCTCTACCCCCTGTCCCCTCCAGCAGGCTT